ATGATTGCATGTGTTGTTGCAAAGCACCTGCCGACTATTTCTAGGAGGATTTGTTGTATGTTAAATGGAGTGTTAACGGACCAGAATACGTCGAGCACTTCTGGTGCGAACATCAAAGTTGGAGCACTTCTAATGTGACCAGAAGACCTCCACCAGAACACCTCAAGGTGCGGTCCAGAGCAGTTCTGCCGCTAAGATTTTCGGACGACATTCGTGTCCACGGGACGCCTGCGCACACGAGTCGCAATTTTCCTTCTCCGTTTTCAGGATTTGATCGGCACCCCCCGCGCGAAGAGAGCCTTTCCCCATAGGAATCTTAACTCTTTCAAGGTGGGTTCCCTTTATAAAGGGGTGAAAATCCCTTGGGTTTTTGGGTGTGGGATAAATCCCACTAGAAAATGCATTCTTTTCACAGTTTTTCCATTTTAATGAGTGAACTTCGAGAATCAATTTCTCATTCACCCATTATCCGTTTTGAATGTACCATATATCGAATTGTAGCCCTTAGCAAGGACAATCCGAAACCACTTTGACCCGACCCAAATAGGAAGTCGACCCCACTCAAAAATTGCCTCAAAATGACCTTTTAATGCAATTTATTAACACTTTTTCCAACAATTCTTTCAATCCTGGTGCTTGGCGATACACTGCTTATCTTCTCTCCATGGTAAGTTAGCATGTTTGATATCTGAGATTCACCTATTTAATTGTTTCTTCTCGTGGCCTGCCGAACGGTTGTTTGGCCGAAACCCTTCTTCTCCTATTTTTCGCCCCTCGCCGCTTCTAGGTGTTGCATTGACAGATGAGGCCAGAATTGCTTGGTGGTTGTTGCCACACTATTCCTCCCTTGTGACCTTAGTGATGAATTGATACCCTTAGTGGGTATAATCGGAGACCTGAATCGGAAGAAACGGCCCTTACAGTGCAGGCATTTCGAAGAGGCGCAATCATCATTGATTTATATTTCCAACACGTCTGATCATGTTTATTCACACAATTGTAACATTTCAATAATGTTTTAGAACTTTCATAATTTAAGCGGCAAAACAACTTTTCTTATTACATTGAGGTAGATTAGACAATTTTAAATGATGGCTAAATGACTTAACATTCTTAGAAAATTCATAATTGCACACAACACTAGTTGGCGGAACACACTGAACAACATGTAAGCTTATTTCACTGCTTTGAGTTGGGATCATAGAAGTTGAGAACCACACGTTCCAAAACACCTATGACGAATTCACATCCGAAAAGGACATAGCCTTTACATTGGACTCTTCATGTTGCTTTTAAATTTACTTCTATAATAATTCATAATGCCTTAGGAAATAGGAATGTCAATACACTACTCTCCATGTGTATATATGCGAACTCTACAACCCTTGTTATTAGTCGTCTGCCATTGTTAGTAACACATACTCCATCCCTTCCAAAAAAATGGTTAGTTCTATAATTCCTTTTGACCTGTCCCATGACAGTCTTGTTTCCCGTCTTGGTAAGAAAATTAAAGTAGATTACCATTTATACCTCTCCTTTGTATGAATAGTAAAAGTAAAGAAATCAACAGTGCAATAAAGTAAGGTTATGTGAGTCATTCTACCCCACTTTCTTAATATTTGAACCCAAAAAGTATATGACCATCAATTTGGAATGGAGGGAGTACAAAATTGCTAAAATATAAGTTATACATATGTGCATGTAAAACTTGGCAAAGAGGAGAGAATACAATATATTGATGGAAAGATTTGTACATACGGAGTAGGGGTGGGCATATCGATTTTCGGTTAGTTTTTTATCGGTTTCGTTTCGGTTCGGTTTGGAACAGTTTGGGAGAATTATTACCAAACAAAAACCACATTATTTTTGGGTTTGGTTCGGTTCAGTCTAGTTCAGTTTGGTTAGGTTTGGATTTATTATTTTTAAATATATATATGAACGATTTATTGAATTCCTTTAGTTCAGTTTGGTTTTGTTCGGTTTTTATCTTTTTTGATTCGGTTTGATTTAATATGATTTGAAAGAAATACTATCAACCTCAAACTAAATTAAATATGGCCCGATTTCAATTCGATCTAATTCAGTTTGGTATAATTCGATTCCGTTAAACAAATCAATATGCCCACTAGGAGTGTGCATTGTTCTAAAAAACGCTCTAGACACCCGATTAGTCCCCGCCTAGACGCTAGGCGGTGGCCAGACGCTCTGATTTTAGTCTAGGTGCTCCGACTAATTGATTTAACGCCTAGGTGAATTAGTCGGCCGTCTGAGGCAACTCGTTGCCCGTCGAGAACGCTTAATTGGCCACCTAGATGTTTAGATTTGTCGAACATTTGATTTTGCATACGAATAAAATTACCAATTGAAGATTAAGATAAAAACTATACATGTTTATATATAAATCTTAAATTTATATTATTATGTAATAATTCTTGTTACCTAATGAAGTTAAGTGAGTACGTATAATACTACCTCCGTCCCCAAAAACTTTGCCATTCCAAAAAATTTGAACCTTGATTTTGATTAGTATAATACTATGGAAGTTCTAAATATTGTACTTTTATGAAAGTACTTTTAACAAAGAATTTTTTCATATAATTTTTACTACAAAGATAAATAAAAAGATATAGTCGGTCAAAGTTTTCAAAATGGCAAAGTTTCATAAAATGGCAAAGTACATTATTTCATAAAAAATATAAAGTACTTTTATGAAAGTACTATTTGTAGTAATAATTTTTACTACAAATATAATTAAGTATATTATAAATAATTTTTAATAAAAAGATATAGTCGGTCAAAGTTTTCAAAATGACAAAGTTTTTTAGGACGAAGGTAGTATATATTATTAAATGTGACAAACTGACAACTCTCTCATTCATGCATGTTAATGTGTAGTGTGTGTATTTTATATAAGGAAAAGAGGCAAATAAGCCCTCGAACTAACTGAAAAAGTGCAAATCACCTCTTTTATAAGAGGCTCTGTCCGGCCATCGCCATTTGGGGCGGTTACCGGTGGAATTTTTTGATGAATTTGTTTTAGCATCTTCTTCATTAAGTCTAGTTTACCCATACAAAATTTTAGCTAAAAATGCAATCGGCAATGCAGGCAAATAAATGCTTGAAGATAACTGCGCAGTTAAACAGCACAGTATCTTTCAGAAAATCGTTTGACTGCCTTCCTTGTTGAATTTGCAGTTTTTCGGTTAGTTCGAGGGCTTATTTGCACCTTTTCCCTTTTATATACCCATAAACACAACATTACTAGTAATATTTATTCAAAAATATTGATAAACGTATAATTTATATGCCTCCGACTAGCTCTGTCTAGCCGTCCACTTAGCCGCCCACCTAGCAGCCACCTACGCCCTGGATTGGCGCCCCAGTGGCGCCTAGGGCCTTTTAGAACGGTGGGAGTATGCCATTTTACACATCCAGTAGATCTTTTTTAGTTATCGTTGTAACTTTACATCGTCAAATAGAAGTGTAAGGAGGCGTTTACTTCGCTGCTAAAGTCACAGTTAGGTTAGTAAGACAGGTGAAATAAACATGCAAGTTGCTTAAAACGCTGCTTACTAATCGAAAGAGGTACTTAAAATGTCGCTTACTAGGCATACCACCCCCCATGTATTAATTAAGCGTCACTTTAAGCTTTTTCAGTTTCCGAATTTACCCCTACCTTTACCTCTTGCCTTTACCCTATTGCTACCCAACTACCCCCCTACCCTACCTTACCCTGACCCACCCACCCCCACATACCCCGACCCCTCCACCACTTGCCCTACCCCCACCCCCTCACCCCTTACCTACCCCTGTACCCCCTACCACCTTCAACTACCTTGACCCCACCCCGACCCCACCCCTACCCCTTTACCCCCTACCCCCACCCCACCCTTGACCCGACCACTACCCCGTCCTACCCTACCTTACCCCGACCCCACCCTGACCCCCAACCCCACCCCACCCTTGACCCGACCATACCCCACCCCCTTACCCTTAACCACGACCCCTCCACTACCTGCCCTGACCCCACCCTGACCCCCACCCCACCTTGACCCCGAACCCACCCCTACCCCCGCCCTACCCCTTTACCCCATATCCCCACCCCCACCCTTGACCCGACGACACTACCCCCGACCCCACCTGCCCTACCCCACCCCACCCCCACCTTACCCATACCCCGACCCCTCCACTACATGCCCTACCCCACCCCCTCACCCCTTACCCTACCCCTGTACCCACTACCACCTTCCCTTACCTTACCCCGATCCCACCCTGACCACCACCCCCACCCCCACACTTGACCCGACCATACCCAACCCCCACCTTACCCCTACCCCACCCCCTCACCCGCCCCCTTTCCTTACCCCGACCCTACCCCTACCTCGACCCACCTCTACCTCCACCCCCACCCTTGAGCCGACCATACCCCACCCCACCTTACCCCTATCCTACGAGTTGGGGGGGGGGTTGGTATGGGTGGGAGTAGGGGTGGATGGTAAGGGTAGGGGGTAGGAAAGGGGTGGGGGTCAAGGGTGTGGAATCGGGGGTAGGGTGAGGGGTGGGGCAGGGTAGAGGTTAGGGGTGTGGGTAAGCGACTAAGCGCACGAGATGACCCCACATATTATATTATATATTTGTGTTCATGAATGTTTGTGTGTGTATATATCGATAAGGTTATTTTGGATATTTTAATGTTAAACGGTGTTTTAAATCTTTTGAAGTAAACATGAGCTTACAACGCTACTCATTTTATGCGCCGCTTATTAATGTAAGTCTTAATAAGCACCGTTTACTAACCCGTGAAGTAAACGTGTCCTGAGTTTTGACTTTTACCCTTTTGATTAAAACAACCTTATTATACATCTTACAATTAAAAAAAACCTCATTATACATCTTCCACAAACTTGTCCATTGCATATGATGCCACGCGTCCTCTCGATTTACACTCAGAGTGCTTTCAAGTATCAACTGCTTCGCGTGTTGTTTCAGTTACACTTTGCAGAAGGCCGGGTTTCTCTTCTCAACGATCGACGATGGCGTCGCGGTTGATCTATTCTTCTGCCACCAGATTGCATCCCTCCAAATCCCCGTACGTTATGAAATGGCGCTTCTTACCGTTAACCCTGATGTTTTCCTCATTGGATCATCTATATTTGTCTATTCGTATTCCTTATTGCTTTTATGTTATTTGGGGATGTGATCCTGGTTGAGTGATTGTGAAGAAGGACCAATGTATACCAATTCACCACTTGGCTACTTGAACTTGTTCTAAAGATTGCAGATGCTGTTCATGATTTGCTGAACTATATCTTTCCATAGGTTTACTATTGTTATTGTAGGCTATGGCCCCTGTGTTTGCTGGGTAAATGTTCCATGGGGAAAGCGTCTAGCTCATATGCAGAAATGCTGCTTACTTGGCGGTCCTGTGCCATCCATCGAATTCAGATGTTATTAAAAACCCCTCTTTCTTTATTCCTATACCTTATTTTCTGAAAGGGCTAAACTGCATAACATGTTATTAGGTTTGACTGCGTGGATTATGTTTCTCCACGAAGTTTTGTTGAGAGCTGGGATTTTTAGCCCTTTTGATAGCATATCTTTCTCAACAACTTCCCCTGCAGCTGCTTGCATATCCTAAATCTGTGTCAAGACAGCCCGAAGTTCAGAATAATCTACTCCAGGCACTACATTTGCATGTCATATGATATGTTTTTAACATCACCAGTCACCACTCTCTCTTAAAGAGTAGTCAATGAAATGACAGTGGTAACATTGGCCTAATGCTTTTTAAAGGAGCTTTATGATCAGTTAAAAAATGATCACACTCCAGATGAGATAATATATTTCTCATACATATGGCCATATCCAGTTGTGCTAGATTAAATGAGTCATTCTACTATATTACCACTGTTTCTCAGAAAGAATAAATCTAACCCTATTCAATTCCACAGTTCCGCCACAATTTCTTGGTCACTATAATCCTACTCAAATATGTGCCTCCTTTGTTTTGGTCTTTTCCCCTCAGTTTATCCTATTTTGCAGTAAGCCTGTTTCCATAATGACTCATTATGTAGAATGTGGGTTGTTTAGAATTAAGATTTTCAATAGGACCTCCTTTCCTCAAGTAATATGTTGATCTGGAAAACAGTCCAGTCTTGACTCATGAGGGCTCAAAGCAGCAAATAGGATTCAATATTTTAAACCAATTACTTTATTATCTTCAATAAAATAAAAGGACTCCAAAACTTACAATAGAAACCTGATATTGTAGCTCATATGAACTGCTTGAGAGGATGACAGTCCAATGCGCTCCCATAAAAACCTCAATAAAAGTTGGACAGCCAATAAAACACCAAAATGCATGTAGCTAGCCAGCTAGGTAGATATGCATGCATGCTGCATAGTTTTATACAAAACTACATCTACAGTCTCTCATCAGTTTTGCAATATAATACAATAGTTGGAGTGGTATTCCAATTTGGGAGGTTGGTCATCATTTAGTAGTGCACTTGAGAACAACTCTATCCTGATAAGTTACCTTTGAACTGACATTTGGCTTTCTACGTTGTGGAATCTGTGAATTAGAGATATAGCCATTAATAAGTTACTAATCTTGATTGTCATTTCCTCTAGTTCATTGACCAATTCCTTTCTTCATGTGAATGGTCAATGGTCCCAACCCTTCTTTGTTATATTTTATTACTCATATATGACACTGTTGTATTCATTATATATAGGTGTTTCTATTGTGCAGGTTTATGACTTTATTTAGAAATACTCGTTTTTTTTCAAGTGAGTCCAACAAAATAGATGAACCATTTAATGTTGAGGAAGCTGAAACTGTAAATTTGCCTCCTAGAGAGAAGGTTCTTAATAATTCTAATCAAAGAATGCACTTCCATTTTATCATTTCCTGGCACGAGTATCTTTATTTAGTAATAGTAACTATTTACTGATGAATCCAGATACTGGTGCTTGGTGGAAATGGGTTTGTTGGCTCACATATATGCAAAGAAGCTTTGGATCGTGGCCTAGTAGTTGCTAGCCTTAGCAGGTACTTAAGCTCGTGTGGTTTTGCATCATTTATTTATTTTCTTACAGCTCGTATTAACTATTAGGTACAGGTAGCTTTTCATAACACTACCTCCACCTGGTTTAGAATTTCCGGATTTCTTAAATCTCCTTGTAGTCTTTGAACATCTATTTTATATTGAATGTTAGTTGTTAGGGATTATTGAAAGAGATGCACAAAACCTCACTTGTGTTTGAGTCGGTGTTTTGATTCTTAATCACTAGCTCAAAGTTCCAGGCCTTCTATTCAGATTGGACTATATTTGGGGTTTCATGTTGAGTCCTGAATGTTGATGATTTAGAAGAATGATATTGGCAGTTAAGCCAGTCTTACGCACACTTTTTAATGATTTGTTGAGAATATAGAAAACAGGCATTGAGAGTCTTAGAGCAAAGACTTTCATTGTCTCATCTGGTCCTTTTGTATACCGGCATAAAGGCTGAGGGTCTGAGATGAGAGATCATCAGGCTGATGGTTTGGTGCACTTAGCTGAACATGAAAAGGGATTTGAACCTTTTGTGCTAAAATGAAAAATAAAGGGCTGAAACCCAAAATTTTATCACTTCGTCGGGAAAAAACAATTTGGTTCAAAGTGATGATTTTAGTTTATTTTACAATATAAATTACTCAAAAAATTGTTTTTAGCTATAGTTTTAGGCTATATCTGTAATATCAATTGATATTACGATTTGAGTCTTGATTTAAACTACATTGGACAAACATGTTTGGTTGTTTCCGCACCATTGGTGCATATGGGTCAGCAGTTGATGTGAATGATTTGCCTCTTTGTGGCACTCTTACTTTTACCGTTTGTTTCCTTGTCTGCTGTGGTGCTACCCATGTGACAAAAAGGGAACATTTTGTCTTCGAAAAATGTTGCCAAGGGAAACTGGTATAAACAACCTGGTATAAATGCGTAGGAACTAGGAACTGACTCAAAAGTTTTATTAATTGTCATTGACCAGAAGTTCTATCCCTAAGCCCCTCCATGGCTCCATAGTGTCATTACAGCTGTGTGGTGTGCAAACCAGTGAAGGAGTAATGAGTTTTGCACTACAGTCTAGGGTTTTAAGGGAAAATGGATCATGTTCTTTCTATTATGGATAATTCACAGGAAGAGAAAAACCATCCATGCGAATAGTTACCCACTGATCCAGTGTCCTTAAGATGAAGAAACCAGTAGCCATATGCATATTTGATGGTACTGGACTAAGCTTTATTCACATCTTATTGGATCGGGTGGTCTATATTAGTAAAATTAAAATTAGATATGGAATGTAATTTGGATCCTTATGGATAGTGGAGTATTTTCTTATTGTTGGTAGTTTAGATTCTTCAGAACAACAATGATGAGATAGGTAGAGTGCATTTAGAATCTAAATTTTAGATTCTCACTCAGAAATAGGCTTCTTTTGTGCGGAACTTGTGCTTTTGGTTACATGGAGAGTGTCATACATGTGAACTTTCTTTGATTTACTTTATTTGGGCACACTCTTTATTATTGAAATCTACCTAATTTATTTTTTTCGAAGTTTTTTATGAGCATTGGATGAACAGCGAACAAATTTAATGTTTGTGTTCTTCTATTAACCATAAAGCTCTCTATCTAGCAACTTTCTTCTACGAGATAGTATAGCGGTATAGTGAAGGGACTGTTTACTTTTTTTCTATTTAAGTCCTGTCTGGATTACGACGTCTGTCTGGGTTAAGATGTCATGTCTGTCTAGATTAAGTGATATTTGTATATGAGTGTTTATTTTGTATGCTGAATAAACAGTCTGAATCGAGTAAAAAGTAATCAATTTTATGGGAAGGACTGCTATTCTCCAGCTAAATGATAGAATCAGGAGTAAAGGGGATGAGAACAGAAGTGTTATTAAGTTCTATGACCATGTGTACCAAAGGAGAAAGAAGAAGGACTTAGCTAAATAACTAATTGAGCTGGCCAGTTAGTTAGTTAGCGGGTACCAACTCTTTGGGGAGGGGAAATTTGTAAATAAATAGCAACAGGGAGGAATAGTTAGGCAGGCTGTTTGACAGTTAGAAATTGGGTCCTGGAGAGCCTGGCACTCTCGAAATTGCCTAGTCTGTCCTCTGTAAATCTCTGCTTGTGAATATTGAATAAAACTTTCAGTTTCTTTGATTTCATGTTGTAAGAATTCTGTAGATTTCCGTTACCTATCACTTAATGATTAAGTCAGTTTTTGACTAAATGATTAAGTCATGCTTCCAATGAAGTCATAAGTAAACATGACTTAATGGATGAATGATTAAGTTGTCATTGCCATTAAGTCAATTAAGTCGAAAGTAAACAACCCCTAAGTCATTGATAGATCACTTCAATTTCACAGAAAATTACAAAAGAAATATCCAGAAAACTCAGCAAACTTTATTAGAAAGGAACAAGCAACAATGGCTGAAGCCCCCAAAAGAGAGAGATGACAGATCTCAATTGATGTCTGTACAAAACAGTTCAAACATTATTAAAAGTAGTTCCCAGTCCAGACTAAAACGTCAAACAGCCTGCTCCTTTCTCTCAGCTTTATTCTATTTATAGTATTACAGCCTAACGGAAGGTAGTTATTAGCTCAACAGAAATATAACTACAACTAACTCTTCTATTTATTAGTCTAATAGGCCGATACCTATCAATACTTCCCCCCTAAACATCCACCTTGCCCTCAAGGTGAGTGATAGGACACAGCCAGAATCTTCTGCTTCCTCTTCTTCCTGGCGCTTCTACCTTCCCAATATTTCACTGTTTTCAGAGCAAAGAGCTTTAGTACATAATCTTTCCAACTCACAATTTTTTTTGCAGCATAGAATATTTCTGGTGAAGTTTCATTTTCTTCACTAGCTTTTAAACCTTCAATAGCCTTAAGTATTTCCTTGTCTTCCTGAGGTGTATCACCTACACCAGTAACAAAATTTATGTTCATGTCCAGAACCTCTTTGCCAGTGTGATGCAACACTGAAACCGAGCAACATCTTGTGAATGAGAATACAAAGTCAACTCCTTGAGCACCAAGTGCATCATTCATAATTCTGTGGATCCCCATTCTGAGTACAGCTTCATTTCATTCTATCACCATCATTTCATTAATTGCTCCATTTGTAACAGTAATGAAGTATGGCAGCCAATTCCCATTCTCATTAGTCACTGCAAAGTATTTCTGGTGCTTCTGCATGACCATTATCAGTAATTCTTTAGGAAGCTCTAGGAAGGTGTCCTTAAATTTTCCAAGTACTGACATAGGGGCCTCAACAAGATTTCCAACTTCATTAATAAAACCAGTCTGCACAATAGGATATCTATTTACACTCTTTGTAAAATCATGGGACTGCTCCAATATAAACTTTTTGTGTTGATCAACATCAACAAAATTCCCAGCATGTTGCATCAGATCGCATAAGATGCTGCATCTACTACCTCTACAGTGGCAGATGGAGTGATATGTATACCATTCGAAACATATCCACCGAAGGGGTTGTTACGAGTGAGGGAATGGGTCATTGCTCCAGCTGTCTTTGCAGATATGTCTCCCCACATGAGATAACTTTCAGTTGCTTTAAATGGAGTATGTAAGTCAAGCTTGGAGTAGTCTAACTTGCTCTCAACCCATGGCTGCAATTCTGCTTCTTGTATTTCAAGGTGTTAGGCATGGCTAGACTTATCAGCATCATGAATCTGTGTGCGGTTTTCCCAGATGATAGCAGATTCTTCAGAAAAATGATAAACATGATCCTTATGAACCTCTGGTCCCGACCTCTTTTGTTCCAGGCCTAAATTTTCTGAAAACATTTCCTTTGGATATTGAGGTTGTTGTCTTTTGACAAGAACAGTTTTATTTTCTGTAATGTCCTTGATTTTAGGTAATCCAGTTTCAGAAGCAATTAGAACTCTGCTGCCAAAGAAACATGGGTGGATAAGCAGACCCACAATAAAAACTTGGCTGGAAATTAAATCCATATCGTCTGCAAGATTAGGAGAAACATAATCTTGCCATTGGATAATCTGTCCTTGCTTCTCGATTTCGTCCTTCTTATTTATTTTCTTGATTACAGATTCGGTTGGCTCCATCTCAGTCTTATTTATTGACTGGGAAAAATCTTTAGCAGGTTGAGAAACTTGCGAACTCAGCAATTCAGATAGGGAAGAATCTGGCGACTGCGAGTTGGGAGCTTCTACGTGTGTTTGTGAATAGGAAAGAGCTGATGGCAACTGCAACGAACTTTTTCTTTTCGAACTTATGCAGCGACACACAGTCCTCAATCGTCCTCGCCTGTGACGTTGTTGCCGCAGCTTGGTGCGCATTTCGTCCAGCCCGGTCCTCCACTCCTTCGCCCAATCTCTTTCTACCTTTTCCTTGCTCTTCACGATTTTTATTCTCCAGGTTTGAGCGCTTCTCCTTCTCCAGGTTAGAGCGCTTTTCTTTCTCCACTTTTCCGCGCTCAACGTCTTCCGTGAGCTTCACCATTTGTTCGCGCGTCACTTTTCGCGATTGCGAACCAGAAGGAACAGTTCGTGACTCCTTCTGCGAACTGGTGAGCGACTGCGACGAATGATTTCTAGGGTTCCCCGCTCGACGTGTGATGTTATCACTCTCTCCAGGATCGGAATTTCTTGGATGCCCTTGGTGCGAATTGCGATGCGAGTATGCGACTTATGCGAATTGTGCGACTTGCTCTTCGATTGTTTCTGGAGTCTCTTCTCCAAGATTGCGAGGCTTGCCTTTATCGCAGCCATTGACGCCGCTATTTTCGCCGAAGTATGTTGGTGATTGTCTTCCCATTCATTCTTTCTTTCTTCCATTTCTGCACGCGTAATGATCATCCAGCGATCAACGTGCTCTGATACCACTGATAGATCACTTCAATTTCACAGAAAATTACAGAAGAAAGATCCAGAAAACTCATCAAACTTTATTAGAAAGGAACAAGCAACAATGGCCGAAGCCCCCAAAAGAGAGAGATGACAGATCTCAATCTTCCCAGTCCAGACTAAAACGTCAAACAGCCTGCTCCTTTCTCTTAGCCTTATTCTATTTATAGTATTACAGACTAACAGAAGGTAGTTATTAGCTCAAACAGAAATATAACTACAACTAACTCTTCTATTTATTAGTCTAATAGGTCGATCCCTATCAGTCATGCTATAACTCTGTTTTCTCAACTTGACAAAACCAGAGGAATTACTGTGTACCTTCTTGAAATCAATATGATTGTTCTTCTGGCAAGGTTTCCTTCATGGAGGAAGTTGTACTTCAACTTTCTAGAAGCTTTAGTTATGTGGATGTTATTGGTGAAGAGGAAATGAATTACATGCATATCTAGTTCAATTTCAACATTGATAATAGTTCAATATAACGTCTGTTCCCTTTTAGTACACGGCTAAGGCTGCGTACATCCGACCCCCCGTACTCCCAAATAGATGGGAGCCTTTGCGGCACTGGGGTAATGTTGTTGTTGTAATGTTTCTTCCCTTTTCTCCCTTCTGATGTGATTGGTAGTTTCCCATGTTTTCTCTCAGATAAGAGCCCATCTTTAGTTCTAGACTACTGACTATGTCATTAAGATTCAAAGGAGTACTATGATGACCATCTCACCATCACTTTGGTGCTAATTGAACACCTAGTTTCCGATAAGTGCATCACATCAAAGTTTTCAGGATGCAGTATATCGTAACACTTCGTATATGTTTTACATTATTCTCTCTAACTGGTTATGGCTTATGAGATGAAGTTGATATAGTCACATGATTTCTCAATTAATTTTATGTTCTGTTACAAGCTCTTTTTATTATTAGGCTCACTTATGACTGGGTACATCTGTCGCTCCTAAATTGGTTTTATCTTCTCTTGTAGAACAGGAAGGCCACCCACACAAGAACTGTGGGCAAACAATGTATTTTGGCACAAAGGTTTTGCTATTGTTTTGTTTAGGGGGTCCATATATAGACTCTTCTACTATTTCAAATCCATCAACTAAGCCCCTATACTAAAAAAGTATCATATATTCACGTTTACTTTGAAAAACCAATCAATCCCGCCATCTTGTCCTGCTATAGTCCTTGTACATTTAAAATATAGAAATAGAAATATATAGAAATAGTAAAAATTTAAAAATTGACATATAATTTAAAAACATTTAAATAAAATAAACTAAAAATTAAAGAATCAAAATGTAAGATTAAAATGTAAATAATATAAATTAAAATTTAAAATATTTAAAAATATGTAGAATATATCCAAATACATAAAAACATAGACTTTGACATTTTTGTTTTTTCATTTGGATTTCTGTTTTTTCGAACATTAACAAGTATCTTAGACTTTTTCAACAAAGTAACCTGCTATAGTAGGTCCAAAACAGTAAAACCGGTAAAATGGCAAGATTGATTGTTTTTTAAAAGTAAGCGTGTTTATATGATACCTCTTTTAGTGTGAGGGATTAATAGAAGGGTCTATATGGACCTTTTCCTTTTTCCTTTTATTTTATTCAATTCTTCTTGTGTCATTTTACTATGTTTATGGACACAGTTTGTTAATAATGGTGACAGGAAACCTTCTTTCAAATGATTCCTGGAAGGAAGCACTTAATGGAGTAGCTTCTGTTGTATGTATTACTTTTACCTTTCTTCCATCTCATTTTCGATTTGTAATAATTGACAAATGAATCATTTTTTAATTAATTTGATCAGTAAGATTTTGGGATGACAGTTCATTCTCCTAATATTCCGTGGGTGAATGCATTACTGATTCACCACCACCCACCCCTGCAACTAGATTTTATAAGTTTTAAATTCTTTTTTCTTCAACCTTCTGAAGGATGGTTATCATTTGCAAAATTTAGCATTCAATTTATTGACTGGTGTCCAATCTTCTCCCCCTCCCTTAGTCTCAGGACTAAATAATATTGATAATAATTACATATATTTATGTGGACTCCCAAGTCCCATATCAAAAACCACCTTCTCGTTGCTATTGGATTCTCCAATAGTTTCATGAGTTGAGCAGCAAGGTTCAGTGTGCTGCAAGCGAGGGTATAGTAAACACCTCAAATTAACGGAACTCATACAAGTGACTGATATTTAAATGTATTCGCGTTGAAACCAGATTGTGTTGAGAACTTCAGATACATCTATTAAAGTTTGTGTATTTTTGTAAAGGATATCCTTTCTTTTCCCCTTCTTTTTGAAAATCAAAATATGATCACTGCTGCTGCTGTCTTTCCTCTTATTGAATTATTAGTTTTGCTAGAGAATTATCAATGTTTTGATTGAAGTGAGAACTTTTATGCAGATATCGTGTGTAGGCGGCTTTGGCTCTAACTCACACATGTATAAGATCAATGGAACAGCCAACATAAATGCTATAAGAGCTGCTGCCGAAGAAGGTATTACTAAGAGCATTATCAATTATGGCGGTCCTGCTTTTGCTTTGCTAAATGTGATATTTTTCTTAAGAGCTGCCTAACCCCCCAAAGAAACTCTATAGGGCTTAAGCTCAACAAGTCGGAATAATTGCATAGTGAAGCTTCATCATGCTTAATATAAAAGTGAAGAATCAGTTCATTTCCTGTGGAACTCTTTATTGTGGCCACAGTTCTGCACATTACCGCTTGAGTGCTGTGTGCATTTGTAAGCACTTAGTGGTTTGAAATGTCTATCTGTTGAACATAAGCAGAAAAGTTAGTGTTTGGCTGCATATGATCTTGTGATGGTCTGAGAAGGAAAAGAAAGAATTTGTGCTGTGGTGACTACTGTCTTATTTTGTGATTTGACTTATATATTCATCTATTAACTCTTTATTTACCACTTACTGCACTCATTAAAGAAAGACAGAAAAGAAAGGATTAGTGCTGCAGTGCCAGTGACCATTGTCTTATCTTGTGATTTGACTTATTTATTATCTGCGTAGACTACGTAGTATTATCTATGAAGTATATATTTACCCACTTACTGTCCCACTCATAACTGGTTGCCAATCTAACTATCTACTCACTCCGTCCCACTGTCGTTGACTTGTCATTCTTTTTTTGTTTGTCCCACTGAATCTATCTCATACCATATTTGTAATATTTGCGGGTTCTCATTCATTATTACTTGTTTATATTTATAAATTTAATACAAACCATATTATTTAAGTGTTCAACTTTTCTTAATAATCATGTCACATCCTCATGTCTCGATTTTAGTGAGACGGAGGTAGTATTTATTATATATATGATTAAACAAAAATAGTTACTTGGTTGTCACAAACAAGCTAATTCATATCTTGTAAAATTTTAACTGTCAGAAATGCTTCAACCATGTCAAGTGAAGACAATATTTATGTAGTGGGGATTGTAAAAATAAATAGTAACAAGTACTGCAAATCATTTTGAGATGTTTGGACGGGTGATGCACAAATAGACAAGTCTTCTATTTCTACTGGGAGCCAATACTGGATCCTCCTATCCTGGGAAAGTCTTCGCATTGGGATCCTTGGGAGAACCAATGATCATCTATCTATATGTTTATTTATTTACTGTGTCACGTGTTTCCATTTCTGGATTCCAGGGGTAAAAAGATTTGTTTACATTTCGGCTGCTGATTTCGGTTTTGTTAATTACCTACTGCAAGGCTATTATGAGGGAAAGGTATGAATAGATTTTTCTTTGCGAAAAGAGGGAATTATATCTTCACTGTTGATACATGAAAGTGTGACTTTACTAGTGTACAAAGGGCTCATCATAAGCCCATCACCTTTAATTGTCATGTGTCCATTAATGATTTTTCTTAATTGGATTTTCTTAAGCAATAAGCAATCCTATTATATTATATTAACTAAATGGATCTGTCATGAAAACACTCAAATAAAGAACTACTAAATATTGATGTTTGTGGATTTATTTATACATGTTAGTTATAATTATATAACAAGTGGAACTAATGGGTACACATTTTTGTGAATAGGACTGTACAAATTAACCAAGATGACATAAAACTCTAATCTAATATTAACCATGATACTTTGTCAAATTTGAGGACTTAAGAACAGCGTCTGCCTCCTCCCCACCAATCGATGCATCTTATTCCATTTTGTTTTACAGATGAAAACAGCTTCTTTTCTTGTTATGCATACATATTCTTGTTTCTATTTTATCCTATCCGCCACCCACTCCCCAAAGAAAGAAAATAGCACCTTTTTCTTTCCTAATACAGACATTTCCTTTATCACATGATGCAGAGAGCTGCTGAAACAGAACTTTTAACTCGATATACCTATGGAGGTGAATTTCTTACTTTTGTTGATTATGTAAGCTGAAAACAATTTATGTGCTTGTTACAGCAAAAGTTGTATACTGATAGGTTCTAGCTCAAATCACCCAGAAAATATAGTGTATATTAATCACCAAACACCCTTACAATATCTGTAAGAGTTCTTAGGAGAATAAAAGACAACAAAGAGAAATAAAATTGCAGAAAACAAAGAAAGATAGATGAGACACTTCGAGCAGTCTCTCTCTCCTAAGCCAAGAGAATTCCAGCCTGCCTCTTACTTGCTTCCCACGCTCATTTTATTCCCTTTTCTGTCTGACAATGCCACCTCAGCCAATTAGTTACTCCTGCCACTTCCTTGCCTTACTATTAATTTACTTTTCTGCCCCTTCGTATGTAAACCTTAGAGAAATCCCGATTGGGATTTATTTGTAAAGTGTTGGGGTTCTTATCATCACCCCCCCCCCCCCCCTTTAAAACTCACCTTGTCCTCAAGGTGGAATTCCAGGAACATCTTTTGGAACTGTGACAAGTCTTCCCAGGAATCTTCACAATCCGGCAGTTGCTTCCGGTGAACTAGTATTTCTTTGCCCAATTGCCCCCATCTACACCATCTCTGATGTTCAAAACTCTCTCCAGTTGAGCTTGCAGTTCCTAGTCTTCGGACAAACAGCTTGGCAATGGTTGGCTGGGAATGTTAGGAGCTACAGCCTTCTTTAATAAGGATACATGGAATACCGGATGCACTGCACAGTCAGCTGGTAACTTCAACTTATAGGCCACTGAACTGATCTTTTCTTCTACATCAAAAGGTCCATAAAACCTAGGACTTAATTTCTGATTGATTCTTTTTGCTAAGCTTTTCAACTTGTACGGCTGTATCTTCAAGAACACCATATCCCCCACTTCGAACTGAACATCCCTTCTGTTTTTGTTAGCTTGTTGTCTCATTCTGTTCTGCGTTGTAGCCAAGTTGTTTTTAAGCTCTCTAATCATCTCATTCCTCTCAGCAGTAAGTTTATTCACTTCTTCCAACGCAGTGAGAGTCACATCACCTTTAGCGAAGCTCTGAAAGGAGTAGTCTTTAGCGAAGCCTGGTAATTTGTATTGTACTGATAGAGACTTTACTAAACTGAAGAAAAGAAGATAAATACTCTAATAAAGTGTATTTTAGAAAGAAATAGGGTCTGTTATTAGTCTAGTTTGTTATGAGCTAATAACTACCGGGGGCTAGCCTTCCTTACTATAAATAGACTACAGTTAGAAATTGGGAGGAGGCTGTTTAGACATTTTGTCTTGTACTGGGAAGTTAGAGACTAATAATCTCTTTCTTTGGGGGCTTCGGCCATTGGGGACTTCGGCCATTGATTCTGGTTCTTCTTCAATACAGTTTCTTGAATTGTTCCTTTAAATTCTGTTCATCTTTTCTGTAATATTTCTGTGAATCTGGACATCTCTAACATTGGTATCAGAGCGATTCGATCGCTGGATGAGATATACGCGCGCCAAAATGGAAGGGAGGGTCAACGATGTGGAACGAAGCCAGCGTGATATGCAGGCGAGTATGGACAATCTGGCGGCAATGCAAGCAGCGATCCAGGCTAGCATTGCAGACTTACAGGTTCGGATCAATCATCGATCGGGAAGCAAGTCGCACAGTTCGCATAAGTCGCATCGCACTTCGCACCAAGGGCATCCAAGAAATTCCGATCCGGGAGAGAGTGGTAACATCGCACGTCAAGCGGAGAACCCTAGAAATCATCCATCTCAGTCGCTCACCAAGTTGCATAAGGATGTTTCGCACTCGCGAGAGGATTCACGCGGAAAACTGGGGAAGCTCGCGGAAGAGGTTGAGCGAGGAAAACTGGAGAAAGAGAAGCGCGAAAAAATGGAGAAAGAGAAGTGCAAAAAGATGGAGAAAGAGAAGCGCGAAAAAGTGGAGAAAAGGAAGAGCGAAAAAGTGGAGAAAAAGGAGCGAAAAAATAGAGAAAAAGAAGAGCGAAAAAGTGGAGATAAAGAAGAGCGAAAAAGTGGAGAAAGAAAAGCCTTCAAACATGGAGAAGGGGAAGCCCAAGCTGCTGAAACAACGTCGGCGAGGAAGGTCAAGGACTGTACGTCACTGTATAAATTCGAAGAACAGAGGTTTGTCTCAGTCGCAAGAGATTTCTTCCGGTCCTCTGGCTTCGACTCAAGTAGAAAACCTTAGTTCACAATCTCTATTTGAGTCCCCAGAGTCGCAGCAGAAGTTGGTCAATCAGCAACTACAGCCCACGGAGGATACACACACTTATGGCAAAGAGGAAAGCAAGAAGAAATCTTCAGTTAATCTTGGACTGGAAGATGGAGCAATTACTCGTTTCCTCATTTGTAATAACACTTCCAGGTACGAAGTAGTTAATTCAGAATTGGAAACCAATATGCTGCTGTCCCTTGAGCGTAGCCATTCAATTGGTGACTACATTCAAGTCAAGAAATACCAGACTGGGAAGTCAAATCCTATATCTCAAGGGAAGGAGAGGATTGCGGAGGGAAATGGAGGGTTATTCTTTTCCGATCGTAGAATTTCTTTTTGGAAAATTCTCAAAGGATGCGGCTACATCAATTTGGATCCTATGTTTCATGATTTCTCCAGCCTGAAGAATAGCTGCAAAGATTGGAGTGCTTTTAAAAAATATGAACTTCCTTCATCTGACAAGGAAGGATGGAACCAAAGAAGTAGGGATGATGTACTTGGTGATGCAGGAGCTGACTTTGTATTCTCAGTCGCAAAGTGTTGCTTGGTTTATGTGTTGCTTCATAGTAGCAAAGATTGTGCCATTTTAAAAATAACCTGGGGTCTTCCACTATCTGTTTCAAGGCACAAGGTGAAAATGGACTTTCACTTTGAGAAATGTACAGTTGCAGAGAGTTTTTGGTGGGGAATTTCTATGGAAGTTGTATGGTGGAATGATATGGGGAGTACTCAAAGTGTGGCAGAGGGTGGCATTGTTTTACTGAAAAGCATCATGGTTGTCAATCATAATTCAATGGGAGGAAAGTCAACTGGAGTGGAAGCAATTTGTAGTTCAAAAATTCTTGATGAGCAGATTAAAGAGGATGAGAATCCTGATGTTCAAGACAAAAACACAAATTCTGCTACCGTTGTAAGTGTTATACTTCAGGGAAGCATGAAAATAATTGTAGCCATTGAAGACCTGAAGACTGAAGAGAATGAAAGTTCACCGGAGACAATATATGTTGCAGTAACATATGTGAATTGGAAAGATCAAGTAATGAAGCTCATCTATCAGAAATTAATGAGATATTGGGAAGGACGAAGCATCAGGATGAAGAGGAAGCAGAAGATGGAATTGAAACCTGAGGGCATCAGACAACAAATTCCACCCTTCCAACTTGAGGGCAAGTTGGATTTTCAGGAGGGGAGATTTGATAGAGACTTTACTAAACTGAAGAAAAGAAGATAAATACTCTAATAAAGTGTATTTTAGAAAGAAATAGGGTCTATTATTAGTCTAGTTTGTTATGAGCTAATAACTACCGGGGGCTAGCCTTCCTTACTATAAATAGACTACAGTTAGAAATTGGGAGGAGGCTGTTTAGACATTTTGTCTTGTACTGGGAAGTTAGAGACTAATAATCTCTTTCTTTGGGGGCTTCGGCCATTGGGGGCTTCGGCCATTGATTCTGGTTCTTCTTCAATACAGTTTCTTGAATTGTTCCTTTAAATTCTGTTCATCTTTTCTGTAGTATTTCTGTGAATCTGGACATCTCTAACATGTACCAATACTCCGCCCAAGCCAACCATTTAGACCATTGTTTCGGTTTGCTGCCCGTCAAGCACCTCAAATAAGTCTCCAGGCATCTGTTTACCACCTCTGTCTGCCCATCAGTTTGGGGGTGGTATGCTGTACTATACTTTAGCTTGGTGCCCGCTAACTTGAACATTTCAGTCCAGAAGGAGCTCAAGATTATGGTATCCCTGTCTGAAACTATGGATTTTGGAAATCCATGTAGCCTTACAACCTCTTGAATGAACACTTCCGCTATTCCTTTGGCTGTATAAGGGTGGGCTAATGCAATAAAATGGGCAAATTTAGTCAACCTGTCTACCACCACCAAGATTGTATCTTTGCCCAACGATTTGGGTAACCCCCCTATAAAATTCATACTGATATCAACCCAACCTTGCTCAGGAATGGGTAAGGGCTGCAGCAGACCTGCTGGGTTTAGAGCCTGATACTTGTTTCTTTGACAAACTGCACAACTTTTTACATATTCCTGTATTTCAGACCTCATTCCTTTTGAGTGTTCTGAGATACCCAGAATGCCCCCAATGGCTGAATCATGGAATTCTTGCATTACTTCTGGGATTCTGGGGGATCCTCTAGGTAGCACGAGTTTCCCTTTGTTATACAACATCCCTTTCCTCAACACAAACCCTGGATGAGATGCCGGTTGGATTACCAGATCTTGAATTATTTGGTTACACTTGGGATTTTTTAATAATTCTTCTTCCAACCCTTCCCAAGCTTGGCAATTGACCACTGAAAGAGCTTGGTATCTTCCCTTCCTAGAGAGGGCATCAGCAGCCTTATTTTCCAATCCCGGTTTGTATTTGATAATGAAGTTGTAGCCTAAAAGCTTGGTAATCCATTTCTGTCGTTCATCACCCATTATTCTTTGTTCTGTCAAGAATCTAAGACTTTTCTGGTCCGTATGAACCTCAAAACGTCTTCCCAACAAGTGGTCTCCATTTTTGCACTGCTACTACAATAGCCATCAATTCCCTTTCATATACGGATTTATTTTGGTTTCGGGCTGAAAGTACTTTACTCATGTAGGCTACAGGTCTGCCTTCCTGTATTAAAACAGCCCCAAGACCTTGCCCTGAAGCATCTGTTTCTATTATAAAGGGTTTGTCAAAGTCGGGATTAGCTAGCACTGGCAGTGAAATCATGGTGTTCTTTAATTCTTCAAAAGCTTTGGTGGCCTCCATGGACCATTTGAACCCCTCTTTTTTCAACAACTCAGTGAGAGGCTTGACTATTCTACTATAGCCCTTCACGATCTTCTATAGTAGCCCGTCAATCCCAAGAACCCCCTCAATCTTTTCACATTCTTCGGGATAGGCCAATCCATCATATCTTGTACCTTGCTAGGGTCAGCAGATACTCCTTGGCCCGAGATGATATGCCCTAAGTAAACCAGCTGGTTCTGCCCAAACTTGCACTCTTTCTATTGATCACCAATTGATTATCTTGAAGAAGCTGCAATACTGCCCTTAAATGCCCTTTGTGCTCCTCCACATTTCTGCTGTAAATCAAGATATCATCAAAAAACACCAAGACGAACTTCCTCAAATAGGGTTTCAAGATCTGATTCATCAATGCCTGGAAGGTAGATGGTGCATTGGTCAACCCAAAGGGCATCACCACGTACTCGTAATGTCCGTCATGTGTTCTTATAGCGGTCTTAGGTATGTCTGATTCCTTCATCCTTATCTGGTGATACCCAGATTTTAAGTCCAGCTTAGAAAAAATCTCCGCCTTGCCCAGTTCATCCAACAGTTCTTCGATCACTGGAATGGGGAATTTATCAGGTACCGTGATCTTATTTAGAGCCCTGTAATCCCCACATATCCTCCAGCCCCCTTCTTTCTTTTTCACCATAAGTACTGGACTGCTGTAAGGACTAGTACTAGGTCTAATAATTCCAATATTCAACATTTCATGTACCAGCTTTTCTATTTCATTCTTTTGATAGTGAGGATACCTGTATGGTCTTGCATTTGGAATAGGATCTCCTTCCTGTATGTTTATTGCATGGTCACAGGATCGTTTGGGAGGTAAATCCGTTGGTGTTTTGTAAACTCCTGGGAGTTCTGCCAGCAACTCCTTCCACTCTTTCCCTGGGTCTTCCACCTCGTTAATCTTTTCTATCTTTTGGCAGTAGATGTAGTAGCCCTCCTCCTGATCCCGTAATGATTTCTTGAGTGTTTTCAAAGAAACCAAAGTTTGATCCAATTCTACACTCCCTTTTAGACACTTCTCTTGTCCACCTTCCATCCAACTAATGGATAAGTCTCGGAAGTTTGCCTTTATCTCTCCCAGAGTTGCCAGCCATTCCACACCAAGTATCAGATCAGTTCCACCAAGGTCTAACAGATAGAAGTCTTGATTAATTTCCATGCCTTGCACCCATATTTGGAGTTGTTCACATTTCCCTGCATTGTTTATGGAATTTCCATTCCCCAGTTCAACTTGGAATCTGGTATTGGCATTATAGTTCAAGCCTAGCTCCTTTACAAGTGTTTGAAATAAAATTATTGGTAGCTCCGGAGTCAATGAGCACTATCACAGCTCTGTCCCCCTTCACCCCCTTCACAGTTCACACTCCCTTTAATCTTGAACGTGTTTTGAGTATTTATTCCCTCCTTGCTCAAAGAGGACAGATGCATCAGGGTTGCCTCTTCATGGCCTACTTCTTCAGTTTCTGGACTAGGATCTTCTGTGTCAGAGGCATCAGATTCTTCCATCAATCTCAGCTTGTAGTTTTTTAACTTGCACACATGCTCCTTATTCCATTTCCCCCCACATTTGAAACACAACCCACGCCTAGTTCTGTCCTCAAAGTCAGCTTGAGATAACCTGGGTCCTTCCTTCCAAATTTTATTGGATCCAGCTGACCCTTCTGTTCTGTGGTCAGGTCCTTTTACCAACAAAGGAACCTTAGTTGAAAAAAAACTCTTCTGGTGTTCTGTGGCTCCGTACTGAGATTTAGATGAATGGACCCCCTTGTCCTTCCATCCACGCTTGTCAATCTCCCTGTTCTCATCCTTCTTTCGTGCCACATACTTTCCTTCTACCAACAAGGCCTTATCCATCAGATCAGTCAATCCCTTTGATTTGTATAACTTCAATTCTGCCTTCAGTCCATCCTTCAGCCCATTTAGAAATACCCCTTTTAAGACTTCTGCATCAGCGTTTCTCAGAGGTGCCACCACCGACTCAAACAGATCCCTGTACTCCATTATTGACCCGGTTTGTTTAATGCTAAGCATTGGGCCAAAGGGATCCTGGACCAGATCCGGTTGAAACCTACGGATCAGAGCCCCTTTAAAGTTCTCCCAGGAATGATCAGCGGTGTTTTCCTCCTACCACTGATACCAGTTGTGCGCCTTATCCACCATGGCTATTAGAACTATTTCTACTCTATCCACCCGTAGGCATCGTTTCCACTAAACAGGGGTAAATCCACCTTCTGACCCGTGTGTATGCGATCATGGATTACAGCTGGGTCAGATGCGAATGAAACAGATCTGGAATCGTTGGACATACCTCTGGAACGAGAAGAACTCTCGCTGTTGGTTGGAGTTCAGTGGCGAGTAGTCCGCGATCGCCCCCTGGTCTTTTTTTCTGCTCGCGACGAATCTGGAGATTTCCGATCGCCACCAACATGGTGTTCATTCGCGCATCCATATCGGCTCTCATCTCAGTGAAGGCTCGCTCCATGTTGTCCATTCTATTCTCCATGCCTGATCGCGTAAATACCATCCACAGGTTCCCAGAACAGTGCTCTGATGCCAGTTGATAGGTTCTAGCTCAAATCACCCAGAAAATATAGCGTATATTAATCACCAAACACCCTTACAATATCTGGAAGAGTTCTTAGGAGAATAAAAGACAACAAAGAGAAATAAAATTGCAGAAAACAAAGAAAGATAGGTGAGACACTTCGAGCAGTCTCTCTCTCCTAAGCCAAGAGAATTCCAGCCTGCCTCTTACTTGCTTCCCACGCTCATTTTATTCCCTTTTCTGTCTGACAACGCCACCTCAGCCAATTAGTTACTCCTGCCACTTCCTTGCCTTACTATTAATTTACTTTTCTGCCCCTTCTTATGTAAACCTTAGAGAAATCCTGATTGGGATTTATTTGTAAAGTGTTGGGGTTCTCATCATATACATAAGTGAGGATTGCATAAAATAATACTACGTATCTGATATAGACATATAGCCAACTCTTAGTTTTTTGTTGTTCATCTCTTATTCCGATCATGACCAACTATTTCCTTATATACTTGAGCGCTTTTAGTTTCCAAACTTGGCATATAATTTTTCTTAAGTTGATCTCTTTTCTTTATTGGATTTTCTTAAATGCAACGCTGTTGAAATTTGGCTCATTATCTTGTTATCCTCATAAACTTGTTACTACTGTTATTTTTCTATTCAGGTGTGATTTTGAGACCTGGATTCATCTATGGGACTCGTCGTGTTGGGAGCATGAAATTGCCCCTGGGTGTAATTGGCTCTCCTCTTGAGATGGTAATTGGCTTTTCTCTTTCCTTTCCTTCTGTTGCATAATGTACTCCATCGGCATCAACATAATTTCGAAAACAAACATTTAAGATCTTCTTCCTTAAATTGTCATCTTGGCTCCCGCACCTCACTACTAAAAAAGGTGCGACTCTTTTAGTCACAAACATAAAATATTCAAATCTCTTTCCCCTTAAGTTCAGTTTGTGCTTTTCTAGGAATTGTAGTTGGTTGTTACAGTTTTTGTCAGAGTTGTAATGCATGGAAAAACAAAAGTTGAACCATATACTAAAGGAACATTGAGAAACACTCTTCTCAAGAAACTGGTACCCTATATATTAGGCACTCAATTCTCAAGCTCTCACTCTTCCCAAATACAACACAACAACAACATTACCCTAGTGTCGCAAAGGCTCCCCCACCTACGATGGGGGTAAGGGGGTTCGGATGTATACAACCTTACCCCTGTACTAAAGCACAGAGAGACTATATTCGGGACCCGTGATGAAAATCGCGTTGAAATTTGCATGGATTGACTACCGGTTCATAACAAAGCAGTGCAGACAGCTTAGTGAGCTATTTTGCTTTATTCCATCATATTCCCAAGCTAAAAATAGCGAGTCTTTGGCTCCATTGGAAATGATGGAAATCTCTCACTCTTCCCTAATGCACAAAAAAGATGTAATTAAAAAAAACTGAGCATTTGAAGTTCTGTAAGAGATGGCAAGGGGGCAAGCCCACTCCACATCCTTAATGTGAATCGGGGCCAGAAAACCTGTGGAACTTATAATATTAGTCATTAGATATGACAACCCTTTTTAGGTTACATAAACTATTTAATTTTTCTTGTTATACTACCTCCGTCCCAAAATTAACTTCCCATTTCGGATTACGATGCTTGATCGACGATAAAACAACTCGATCCCCGATCATACTCAGATTACTTTTAGTAAATAAAATTTACATATTGAGAAACTACATTAAAACCGCTACAAAGGTTGATAAAAAAGATATAAATTTGATAAAAATTTGATATATAAAACATAAGATTAAGAGTAATTTAAGTTGACCATGTGAATAGCGACAGTGAAGTTCATTTTGGGACGGAGGGAGTACAACAACAACAACAACATCCAAGCCTTAGTCCCAAAAGATATTGGGGTCGGCTAACATGAATCGATACATGATATCACAACCAAAAGGAAAAGAAGGAATAAAGATAAAAAGATAAGCTATTATGAAAAGATAATATAAAGTCTAGTGTCTTCCTTTGGAACTCAAGCATCAGAGCATAAAATACAAATTCAATCACAAAGGCAAGATATTTTAATTTACATTATTATGTACGAGTACGTGAGTGCCTCAAGGATTTTTTGGCTTGAGATTATGATGGAATAAAGCAAAATGGCTCACTAAACTGTCTGCGCTTCTTTGTTATGGAGCAGCAGTCAGTCCATGCAATTTTGGACGCGATTTTCACTATGGGTCATCCGGAAACAGTCTCTCTGTGCTTTAGTACAGGGATAAGACTGCGTACATCCGACCTCCCTTACCCCACCGTAGGTGGGAGACTTTGCGGCACTGGGGTAAATGAAAATGAAAAATGATGACGTGAGTGCCTCAAGGCAGTGGCATGGTGTGGTGGTGCAGGTTAGAAATTCTTCAATTTAATACAAATTTGGTCTCTCTTCTAAAACGAAATTTGGACCATATTTGGTTTTGATAGAAAGGCATATTTTTCCAGTTAGGAGTTTACCACTTTACCAAATTTTGAACCCAAATTGACCTTTGACTGTGTAATCTGGAGCAAATTCAGTCTTCTATATACCAAGGTATCCTTCTGATTTCTGAATTAGAGCAAAATATGCATGAGGACTAAGGATTGTTTCACTTGGGACTGATTTAAGTCTCAAACCAAATTTTAGGATTTAAACTGGCCAGACCGGAAAAATCGACTCCAAGTGAAGAAATTTCTAAATCGAGTCTAAACTGCAATACTGCATAGTAACTACCAAATTGAATTCAAAAGAAAGTCAGGGAAAAATAAGTAATAATGTATAGTAGAAGGACCAAATTGGGTAAAAACTCTAGAATTTTAATATCAATAGTTGGGGTCAAAGTGATAAAGGGTTCAGACTAGAATAGACGAAATGGAAGCAAGTGTGCACATCTTTGATCCTTTCTTTGCTGCCCAGTCATTCATCCTTTCCCATTTTCATCTTGCAGGTTCTCCAGCATGCAAAACCATTGAGCCAGTTACCCCTTGTTGGCCCTTTGCTGTCTCCGCCCATTAATGTCACTGCCGTGGCAAAAGTAGCTACAAGAGCAGCTACAGACCCGGTCTTCCCTCCTGGGATTGTCGATGTCTATGGCATACTACGTTACAGTCAACAGAAGTCTGTATAGAGGAGTTTCTTTTACGTCAAGTGCTAATTGACATAATCTATTTTCATCCCTCTACCGTTCTACCCCTCCCCCCTCATGCTCTCTTTCATTCTTAATTGTATTTTTTTCCATGTTCATATGCAAAGTCAATAAGGAGTTGGTTTTGAACCATATATTTTAAATCAAACGAGCTGTGCCTGCCCCATATGGTATTGTTTTTTGTATTTTATGATTTCTACTATAAATAAAAGTAGGATATCGGTTTGGTTATACTACTGCCAGTTCTGGACACTGGTGCATGTTCCCGGTAGTTCATGATGGTTGTTGAAAAAAAACTAAAATAACTAGACAGAGACACAGAGTTAATAAAAGAGTGCAATGATGTAATAAACACTAAAGTGAACTAATGCCTTGAAAAGATGGTTACAAACTTGGTACATTTAGAAACATTAAAGAACCCTTGTTTCAAGTCAAAAGCCAAAATGACACAAATGTTACTTACGTTTAAATTTTCTAAGTGGCCTTGCTGTATCAAATTATTCAAATGTGCCTAGCTTGTCTAGTTGTTTTCGATAAAACACAATTTGCCCAGGCCAACTCATGCGCTTTAATGTTGTCATTGTAATGGCAATGAAACAACTCGAACAAATAGGGCCATGGCATAAAATGAGACCCTCGATACAAAAGAAAAAATCATAATCTCTATGCAAATACAATTTGAAAATATATAAATTTATAATCAAATCTTTGAATTTTATTTAGAAAACATGTTACACATTTAATAATTATAAACTTAATATTTCTTAATACATACTCCGTGTAAGATATCATAGATGTACAATGTTTAATCGCAACAAATTACATCTATCCTTATACATAATCTATACAAAGAGTTCGTCTATCTAGAATCATTGAATTAGTTCTATTTGACATTCAAGCTGCTGCGACTAATTAATGATAAAAATTATAGGCTTTTACTATTATTTTTAAAAAAATGCTTAACTGTCATGCCAAACATATCAACTAACATATAAACCTTGGAGACCTACAAAAGCGGGCATCTCCTTTGAATAGGGTTTCTAGTTTCTGTTATCTTTTGGTGCGGCGGCCTGGTCAACGCAGAAGGGAGATCGTTTGCAGGAGATATATCGTCTCTATTGCTGTGGTGGCTAATGGATAAAGCTTTGCGGGAGCCAAGTGAGGAAGAAAGAGAGGTGTCCAGAGAGGAAGAAGGCTCGGTGGATAAACTGATCGAGAAGTATGTTGGCCTGGACATTGGTGAAGCACCGGGTGAACTGGTGATCGATGATGAAGAAGAAGAGGCGGCCAAGGTGGTCGGCGTGCTTCTCACGAACAAGGTGGTCTAGTTCCAAATTTTTAAGAATCTCATGGCGGCTCTGTGGCGCCTTGGAAAAGGGATCTCGATTAAGGAAATTGGTGAAAAGAGGTACCTTATTAAATTTTTCCATTCTGTTGACATGAATCATGTTCTGGACAATGGTCCATGACTATTTGATCAGAATTTATTAGTGTTAAGGCCATTAAGTCGAGGGATATCCCGCTTAAGGCCCCTTGGATTCGACTAATTTCTGGGTGCAAGTGCACAATGTGCCTTATAGTTATGCTAATCTTGGAACTGCTAGAAGGATTGGGAATTACCTAGGAAAAATTGTCAGTTGGGATGACAATCAGTTTGACGAAAAGTAGGAGGCTTACATGAGGGTTAGGGTTTGTTTGGATGTGGGGAAACCCCTGAAAGTTGGCACTACTATCAGGAGGAGCAAATGGGAAAGTTATTGGGTTGATTTTAAATATGAGAAGCTTCCAAGCTTTTCTTTTGTCTGCAGGGTTATAGAACATGCAGAGAAATTTTGCCCATTAATGTACGAAAAAGGAGGTCAGAATTTGGCCAAGCCGTTTGGCCCGTGGCTAGGGACGGAGGAAGGAAGACTCGCCCATCTTTGGGGAGTAAGTGGCTGTTAGAATATTATTTTATTGTGTTTAAATTAATTGTATTTTATTTAATGAGTCTTTGTATTTAATTAGTTTAGCTGAGAGAGAATTAGGCCCAATTATAAGTGCTCTAATAAGCCCACACGCCTAAGCTATTGTTTCCTAGTTGTATTAGGCAGTTCGAATATATCTCCTATAAATATCGGTTGAGATGACTTAATCTGCTCTCTAAGTCTCTACACATTCTATTCCGCATATTATTCTGGTAGAGCACGTAGATTAAAAATTCTGTCTCTAGCTTGTTCGAGTACTGTGTATTGTTCTTCACAGATTCATCATTTTGTATACACAGTATACGTTATTGGTGAAATTTCTCTTCCACTGTTTTAAAATTTTCTATTATCATTAGACTATTCTACTGTTGAATCTGGGCATAATACACACAATTGGTATGAGAGCCTCGGCGCAATTCTGTTCATCTGATTCCTTGAATTTTTCTAGAATTAATTTGATCAAAATCACAATTTTTGGTTGAATTAATCTCTAGATCTGTTCTTGGAAACTTACTGTTTTAGAAGGTTTCTACAACAAGGAAGGAGAATCCCAGAAGATAAAGGTTACCATATTTTCGCTCACCCGAGATCTTCAGAATTTCGCACATCTGAAATCATGAGATTTCGAAGTCCCAAGATCCTATCTTTGCATATCTACCGAAATTATCATCCGAATTTCTAATTTCGGACACCCGAAATCTTCATCTGAGTTCCTGATTTCAGACCTCATTCGAAATCCTTAGATTTCGAAGACCCGAAATATGCATCTGAATTCAGAACTTCGGAAGCTGACCCGAGATCTTAATTTCGGACATCCGAAATCAGTGATCCGAAATCTCCTTCCGAGATCTGGTTTCCGAATTACTCATTCGGATTCTTGTTATTGAAACTATTTCCGAGATCTAAAGCCGAAATCTTCTTAAAGCAGTGCCGAAATCTTATTTTCATCCGAACAGTTGTCGCCTCAAGATCAACAACAGTCATGGAAGCTTACACACTTGGATGTGATTCTAGACCTCCACTACTTAGGAGAGGAGAATTCGTTGTATGGAAAGTCAGATTCTTAAACTTCATCAGAAGGAGAGATAATGGGAAAAATATTCTCAAGTCTCTAGAAGAAGGACCCATTGAAGTATGGGTTGAAGTTCCTGAAAACACGACATCTAATCCTCCCACACCTGCTCAAAGAAATCTGAAGAAAGAAGAAGACTATACAGAACCTGAGAAACTCAGAGCTAAGGCTGATCTTCTAGCTGCAACTTATCTGCTCCAAGCCATCCCAAATGACCTGTTTATGCAAATTGATAGTCTTTCCACTGCGAAGGACTTGTGGGATAAAATCCATCAAATAATGCAGGGAACTGATGTAGGCATTAAATCCAAAAGAACACACACTCTAACTGCCTATGATTCCTTCACTGCCAGACCTGATGAGGAGCTAGAAGATACTTATGAAAGATTTTTGATAGTCCTGAACGAGATGAAGAAAATCAACATACAAAACCAATATGGAAGTCAATCTTTGCTTCCTGAGGTCACTAATTCTCGCATGGAAGTAGACAACAAAACGAATCAGACAAAATAATGATCTGGATGAGCTGACCATCCATAATCTTTACGATTGTCTTGGAGAATTCTCTTAGGATATTCGAGAAAAAGTCAATTCTTCAAAGGGAAAGAACATTGTTGATACACTTGCCCTTCTATCAACCGAAAAGAAAAAGAATGAAAAGCTTCCCAAAATTTCCTTTGAAGCTGACTCATCCGATGACGAGAAAAACATGTCTGGTTCTGACCCAGAGATAAATGAGCTGAAGAAAGAGCTAGCTTTGCTGACAACCATGACCAGGAAGATAAACAAAAAGTTCACAAGGTTCCGAAATCTCGCAACAAACAACAAAAAAGAACTTGTTCTTCAAACTATTCTGACAAAGCTAGCAAACCTTCCGATAAAGCTTTTAGTGGCGATCCAATGAAGTGTTTCAAATGTGGGAAGCCTGGTCACTTTGCCAAAGAATATCGTTCTGCCAAGAAAAATGACTTCAACTACTACATGCAAAAGGCTCAAATGGCCAAGCAAAGAGAGCAAGGAGTAGTCCTCATGGCTAAACATGATAGCTTGCTAGAGGATACTGATGAAAGTGAGCCAGAAACATGGCACTGATGGCGAGAGTGACAGACTCTAAAAGTGATAGTGACAAGTGACAACTCAGAAGAAGAAGACAATGCTCCTACATCTGCTGAAATTGAGGTAAGTAATCTAAACTCCTTAATCTCTCAACAAAATGACAAAATGAAAGAGTTAATCACATCTCTAAAAAGAGAGAAAAACAAGATAAAGGAACTTGAACACAGACTTGCAAATAATCAAAAGGTTCTGGAAAAACAAGTGCTAGAAGGAGCTTTTGAAACAACACTCTTAAATGACTCACGCGATAAAGTTTTTAAGTTAGAGTCAGAAGTAACTAAGCTTAAGCAAACTGTTAGTGACTTAACTAAGGAACGTGATGAGAATAAAGGACAACGTTCTGAAGCTGTTATTCGTTATGATCTAATTAACAAAGAACGTTCTCAACTTTACTCTAAGATAAAGGAGTTAGAGGATATTTTAGCCAAGAAAGGTCAAACCGAACAGACAATTCATCTTTTGAATAGTAAAATCAAGGATACTTAGTTTTACAATCCTAGAGAAGGACTAGGTTTTCAAAACCCTGAAAATGTGAAGAAAGTCGATTGCATTCAGTTGTGCGACATAAAATACATGAACCTAGGGTTAACTAAACTCATGAAATTCACTGATGCATCTGAAACTATTGTGGAAGAAGAGGAGAAAAGGACAAATAGGGCTAACGATGAAATTAGTTTTGATTATACTGCTCTCAATGACAGCTATGCTACTAGAGAAATTCCTTTGTCAAATGAATATATTACCTATTCTCCTCTTGAGAATCACAACGTGTCTAGTGAGGAAGAAGCCTCAACCTCAAAAGTTCTAGAACCATATGTTCCTCATCTAATTAAGAAACTTGCTGATCTTCACTCATCTTTTGAAGAAGAAAGAGAAAAGCTTAAGCTTGAAAAAGAAAATGCTTTAAAGAAAATTTCTAAATTGTATGACGAATCCTCTCAAGGCTCAAAATCTCCTGAAACTTCTTTTTCTAATGAGAATAAAAAGAAAAATCATTTTGAAAAGAAAAGGAACTTATCTTCTGCTCCACATACAGGAAAAGTTTTTTCTAAATCCACTGCAGGAAGGATGACTTGGACTCCAAAGAAGAATTCAAGCAAGGATACAAGACCTGAG